ATTCTAGCAATCAAACATTCCAATTCAATTCTTGAATAATTAGTACACTACTAGAATACAGTCAATCAACGACGGAAAAAATCCCTCGAAAAACCCTGAAATTCCGTCGGAAATGCCCATTTCCGACAGAATTCCGTCGGAAGGCACCGTCGCATTACACTTTGTAGGGATTTCGCGATATTCCGAGGGAAATTCCGTCAGAAAGGTCCATTCCGACGGAATTTCCGACGGAATTTCCGACGGATTTTGTTCTGTCGGAGTCAAGTTTGACTTAATTGGGAAGTCCGTCGCAACATTCCGACGGACTGAATTCCGTCGCAACATTCTGACGGACTGAATTCCGTCGCAACATTCCGACGAACTGAATTCCGTCGTTGTTATACTCTTCCGACAGAATATTCCGTCGAAAACAACTAATTTTCCGACGGAATTTCCGTCGGAAAATTTAATAAATAAAAAATAAAACGCCTCCACCAGCCCCCCTACCACCTTAACCCATCTTCCTACCTTAACCCACCTCACCAGACCCACCCACCTGACCGAAACCCACCTCCCCACCTCACCAGACCCACCCACCCACCTCACCGAAACCCACCTCCTTACCTACCACCTTAATCCACCTCCCCACCTCCTCACCTCACCGAAACCACCCAAAACAACACCGAAACCCACCTCACCGAAACCTACCTCACCGCAACCCACCTCACCACCGAAACCCACCTCACCACCCAAAACAACCACCGAAACCACCCAAAAAAACATAAAAAAAAATCCATAATTCACCAACACCATATATTTCAAAAAAATCAGAAAAATCAACAAGTTAATTAAATCAAAATTAAGAACAAAAAAAAGAGACACATACCTTAATTTGAAAAAAAAAACGTCGAAATTGGGATTATATGGTTAAATTCGAACATAAAAACTCCAGATCTGGAATTTTTATGGTCGAATTTAACCATAAACACCATAATTATTTGTTTGTTGACGACCACCAGCCCACACATAATCCATTCTTGTCGAAAATTCAAGGAAAAAAAATGAAAAAGAAAAGGAGAACGAAGGAGAAACCGGAAACAGAGAAGGAAAAGAGGAAAGAGTAAAAGGGAAGGAAAAGAGGAACGAAGGAAAAGAAAAATGAAAGAGGAACAGGAAAGAGAGGGAGAACGAAAGAGAAAGAACAGGAAAGAGAAGGAGAAAAGAGGAAGAGGAGAGAGAAAGAGAAGGAGAAGAGGAGAGACAAAGAGAAGAAGAATAAGAAAAAAGAAAGAGGCGGAAAAGGTTTGGGTAAGGGGGTATCCGTTTTATGGGCTAGGGTTTGGTGAAAAAAAATATTATTTTTTAATTAATTTCCGACGGAAATTCCGTAAGAAGTTTAATGTTCCGACGGAAAATTCCGTCAGAAGCTTCCAACGGATTTTATTTCCGTTGGAAGATTAATGTTCCGACGGAATATTCCGTCGAAAAGCTTATATTTTCCTACGGATTTATTTTTCGTCGGAATTTCTGTTTTTTCCGACGGAAATACATGTCCGTCGGAAGATGTCCGTCGGAATTCGGCCTATTTCTAGTAGTGGTAACCACGTTTAATTAAATGTTAAACCATTTTTTAAAACTACGTCGGTGTAGAAACACCTTAAGCGCATAAAGCACCGCAAATCTTATCCCTTGCTGTATAAACACCTTAAGTCTACGTAGGCATTGCAATATAATATATCCCTATGTACTAAGACACTTAAATAGCTCATTTCCCATGCTTTAAGCATCAATAAAAATTATATGACCATAATGAAATTCTCTTTAATATTCCAACCTCAATTAAACATTTAGTTTACTTAAACATGCTCTTAATCATGCTGATAATAAAGTGTAGTCCATATTCAACATTCCACATCATAAATTTCAACAATAATTCATTTCAAATAAATCATGCCTCATAAACCAATCATCAATTTCAATCTAATTTCATACAACCAATCCAATTCAACAATTCCAACCAATTCCTAGCATGATACTAACTTGGAATCAACCAAAATAAATTATAGCATGATTCTACACGCATTATAAATATCAAGTACGCCTACGTACCTCTATCACAAAATCGCCACAGCTACACAAAATCACTCACTTGGAAGTCTCCTACAACCCACAAATACCAAGAGACATTAATACTTGTTCTAAATAAATTCCAACAATATAAACACACTTTAAAACACTTTTAAACCTCTTAAAACATGCTGAAAATTATTTATAATCACTTGGTTTTATTCCCAATCAGTGGGTAATTAAATTCCTTAAAGAAACGCATACTTTAGCCTCTACATTAAAATTACAACAATATAAAACTATTAAAACTTTGCTGTAAATTGCTTTTAAAACATTGATTTCAATCATATAAACCAATAACTATCAATTCCCATCAATAATCATCAATTTAAAATCTATGGTTTCATTAATTTAGGGCTTTTTCATATGAAACATAATCTGAAAATTACTTGTATAAAACACCATTAGAATCATCATAATTTCATCACACAATACTCAAAATCAATAATTAATCAAGGCCTAATTAAAATCAAAGCAAAATTTTTTTTTTTTTACAAAATCTCACACTACTACTGCTACTGCCGGCGGTTGGTTGTGGTGGTGGTGGGCAATTGGCCACCGGTGCATAGGTGGTGCATGTGGTATGAGTGGGGAGGGGGGAAAATAAAGAAAGGAAAATAAGAGAGGAGAGTGTGTGTGTGTGTGTTTACCTTTTAGGTATTTTTTACCTTGGGCAAAATCTGATTTTTGCTCTTGGGTGAATATTTATACCTCTCTCTAGAACCCTCCTTTCTATTGACTTTCCTTATTTACCCTTAATGAATCCTACTCCCACTCAAAATGGCTATTAACTTTATTTTAAATCCTTTTGACTTTAAATTCCTATATAATTTACATAATGCCCAAAAGTTTTAAATATAGAAATAAAATATTTTCAAAACCATATTAATAAATTAATTGATGGGTTTTTTTATTTAAATAAACCTTTAAAATATTCAAAATGAAATACATAATTCATTTCAAATCAATAAAATACGTTTATAAAATAATAATTTAATTTATAAACCGTATAAAAATATGGCATATTACAGATGTACCTGGCCATTAACACTAGGTCAGACATTGAATTCTTGGTGAACTTGTTAGCAAGGTATAGCTCTGAATCTACAAGCGGACACTAGAATGGAGTGAAACACCTACTCCGCTATATACATAGACAATCAATTTAGGGCTCTTCTATCTGAGAAATGGAAATCCTACTCTCGTGTGATATGCTGATGCAGGCTACCTATCAGATCTAGTAAAATCAAAATCACAAACAGGTTATCTTTTCAGTTATGGCAATACAACGATCTCTTGGAAGTCAACCAAGCAGACACTAACATACATCGACTTCATCAAACCAAGCTGAATTGATTGCTCTTGATGAGCTGGTAAGGAATGCATATGGTTGCGATCGTCAACCCAACATATACTCAAAGAGAGCGGGATCAAAAACAACCAAAGAAAGCCCAACTACAATTTTTTAAGACAACATTACTTGCAATATACAAATTAAAGGAGGCTATATCAAAAGGTGATAGAACGAAACACATTGACCCCAAGTTCTTTTGTACTCATGATTTGGAAAAGCAAGGAAAGACCGATGTCAAGCAGATCTAGTCATGTAACAACTTAGCTGATGTGTTCACAAAGGCTTTACCACCTAGCTTTATTTCAAGAACTCGTGCATATGAATGGCATGCGTCGCCTTTGTGATATGTGTTAAATTGAGGGGGAGCCCTATATATATACTGTACTCTTTTTCCTTCGTCCAAGTTTTTATCCAACATGGTTTTTCTTGGTAAGGTTTTAATGAGGCAGATAAACATATAGGTGCAATAGCGGTAAGATTTGATTTTATCTAATGTAATTTTTTTTTTACAATTCGGCATATTCTCGATTCGTTGTATCATACAACTTTTGGGTGATCCGACACTTCGAGGAAGAAATTTCTTGTGATGATTTTGTAATCTGCATGAATTCGAGAAATAATCAATCGTAGCCTCGTAAAACTGGAGACCCTATCAAATGCAAATAACACCTTGTCTTTCAAAGGAGTTCGAAAAATCTTTTCTTTCGAAGGAGATTGAAAAAACCTTGTCTTTCGAAGGAGATAAACCCTTTCTTTCGAGAGAGATATTATTATAACCTAAGAATTTTAAAAGCTTAAAAGAAACAAAGATTGGAGCTTTCCACCGGTGAAATCCGACGGAAGCCCCTTCAAAATTTACGATGGAAGCTAAAGTTTAGGAGAGATGAGAGAGAAAGGAGGCTAGGGTTTTTTTTACCATCCCTCTATTCTAAAATACTCCATATTAGAGATTTTTTTAGGGTAATCACATCTAACGTAAAGTTATGAGTCATCCTATAGAAATTCGTTAAAGGGGGAGTGTTGTAATACGCATCGTGTGCGTAATATGAACGGATTAAAAACACCGTCAAATATCACCGCTAAGTTTCCATGCAAGAATAAATATTGTCGTTCAGAAACCTCATGCTCGATTAGACATTTCACTGCATCTTTAACATATCGAGCAAATACTATTCATATAGCCATATAGGGATACTATAAATCCCCGCATAATCTATACGCAACAATTATACTTCCTCCGTTTTTTTAATATTGAACCACTTGCCTTTTAAGAAAGTATCACAAATATTGCATCATATCTATTTTAGGAAAAGAAATATTGTGTTCACACTACAAATACCTAATATACTCTTGCTTTTCAACACTTACTTTTTATTTTGCGTATACAATCACATGGACAATTTGTATTTCTACCTTTCTCTCTCCTCCTTTTTTCCACTGCCAAAAAATTTGTTCCAAACCCCAGTAATGCAATAATAAAAGAACGGATGAAGTAGTATTTAAAAGCTTTCTTTTGATCTATTTGAAATTCTTTATTGTAAAACAAAAATACGGAGTAACAAATTGGATTACAAGGATATTGAGCTTCTCACGTGCGTCTCTTTCCTCCGTTGAAGTGGCTACTCTGAATTCTCCATTAAAGCATTGAAGCGTAGGTAATGTATTTTTCTTAATAAACCTAATATTAGTTTCACAATCTACCTGTTAATTGTTGATTCAACTCAATTCAGGGTTCTTCTAAGGTGGATTTATTATTGAACTATTATCGCTTATAATTATATTAATGAATTGAGAAGAATTTTGTTTGATAATTGAGTCAAATTTGGTTGTTATTATGTAGCAAAACCCTTGATTGTTATCCTGTTAGCTATAAATAATTAGCATGGCTTGTATAGTTAGCAGTATTTATGGTATTCAGCATATCAATAGAGAATTTCAAATTAATTACCTAAAGTTTTGATTTTGAATGTAATTTCCTTGTTAATTTGGTTAAATTATATAGTGTGTATTGATAATTATGTGATTATCTTTGTTGTACAGGTTTAAATACTCAATCTAACAGGTACCCTTCTTTTTTCTCTCACTAATTTCTATTCTTCTCACAAATCCCATGGATATATTTGATTCTTGTATCGATCCCCCACAAACTGAACCTCCAAAACCCGAAATTCGGAGCAATGAAAACCTAAATGATGATGATATTTTTGGTTCCTCTATAAACTTGGAAGAATCTCACATTGAAGAAGGCTACAAAGATGGGTATAGGGATGGTCTTACCTTGGGAAAACAAGAGGGCTATGAAGTGGGTCTAAAACATGGGTTTGAGTCTGGTGAAGAGCTCGGGTTTTACCGTGGTCTTGTCGATGTTTGGACTTCTGTGATTCGAGTTGAACCCAACTTCTTCTCTGCTCGGGTACAGAAGAGTATCCATCAAATTCAGGAGTTGCTTGAGAAGTACCCATTTATGGATCATGAAGATGAGAGCAAAGATGACATTTTAAGAGAGCTTAGGTTGAAGTTTAAGGCTACTTGTGCTTCTTTAGGAGTTAAATTGGAATACGAGGGGTACCCTAAAATGTCTGACTCTCATGACTATTGAGTTTTGGGCATGAGCAAGGTATTCTTGGTTAACAGTTATAGTAGATGCAGTATGATGTTAGGATTTGCTTCTCAATATTGTTTATAATGTCTGTCTTACTGTTACCCTGGTAGTGTTAGGGCCATGACTATGTTATTTTAAGGAAATTAATTATTTTTTTGCATTGCTTTGCAATTGTATAAGGTGCTTATCTTAAGTTGATTCTTATTTAGAAGCACGTGGAGCAGTATACTTTGTGTGGTTTAATACTAATAAAAGTGTAAGAAAGTTCAATACAATGAAGGACTATACATAATAACTTTTGTATTCAAAATTCATCTCTCATTATATTCACCATCCTCTATTGGTATTTAGATTGGGAAATTCAAAGCTTGTCATGTTAGTTGTTTTTTTAATTTTTGAATTTTCTTATAATTTTTTTTTTTTAATTGAATTTTAACTGCTAGTGGTGAAGATGAGCTCAAATCCTTCCCGGGATTTGAAATTTAACCTCTGGGTGGTCAATTGAATAAGATAGTTACAGCAGGGCAATCAGCAATGTCATTTCTATGAGTCATAGGATGCGGAGTCACTTTTTTCTTGCTTATGCTTGATCATTTAGCTTGATGCAGGATATGTATGTTTGCACTGGACATATCTTTAAACAACATTTTATCATCTTGGCTCATCTATTCACAACTATTTTTGGTCATTGACTGCACATGTTGTTATCTTATTGCCTTTCTTTTGCTTGGGATAGCAGAGGTGTCCTGAATATTTGATACCTCATACTACTATGCTAGAGTTGCAATGCTAGTGTAAAAATTGTGTGGATATCATCTATTTGATCGATTTATAACATTTCAAAGACTTGCTACTTTGATTTAGCAGAGAAACTTAGTTGTCGATGCTGTTATTTTTAAGCCAGAGGCTGCATGAAATGAAATATGTTGATGAAGACATTATGTATCCTGAGTTTGTGGTCCTTTCTAGAATTTGATCAGGATCTTTATATAGTAGTTACAAAGCTAACATTGGTATATATATTTGTATCTTTCCTGTAGATTGGGAAGATTAGTGGGAAAGAAGTAAATGAAAAATATGATACTGGCTTGTTGCAAACTATACATATCTGAAAGCCGCAACAAAGCTGCCCTCGAGTCTATTGAACGAGTAGCCAAGCTTGTGCATGATACTAAAGTTGTCAATAAATTTGAAGATGAAGCTTATAACAGAGTTGGCTACACTCTTGTCTCTAAGCTACCTCCAAAGTTGTCATCGGATCTTTGCGCTCTAAAAGATACTGCTTTTGCAATGGTTAGCACTGCTTTGAAAGCAATTGACTTTAATATGCACAGTGGAAGCCATCCTCGTCTGGGAGTTGTTGATCACATCTGTTTTCACCCGTTGGCCAATACTTCTTCGGAGCAGACAGCTAATATTGCAAGGTCATTGGCCAAAGATGTTGGTACCAAGCTTGAAGGTTTGTTTACTTCATCTAGCTTTATAACCTAGAAGTAAAATTTGGAGGATTCACTTTAATGATTTGAGTAGGAAACAGAACCAATTGTGAGTTTTGATGTTAAGAATGTCATAATTTTCATGTTATCATATCGTATAGGCGGTATAGCAGTTGTTTTTGTTGTCATCCTACTGATAAGCAGCTTAAAGAGATTTCATGATGGGGCCTCACTATTGTTAAGTTATGCCTTTTTGTTTCTAGAAAGTTGGGGGTCTAAGGTACCTTTCAGATATTTGTTCTATTTTCATGCCTCATAAGCTGTGTATGCTATCATCATCCTTGCTCCTAATTTTTTGTCCAGCACTGAAGTACTATGAATTTCTCAAAGAAACATTTGGGAAGGGATGATGGTGTTGGTGGGAAAAGTGGACAATTTAGGGCATCTCAAAGTGGAAATTGAAGCTATGGATAGGTGACAGAGAAAGTATTATTGTTTTAAGCGAGATTCATCTGTCAGTGAAAGTAACTGTATCTTTCTAGAGAACATAATCATGGATCATATATTTTTTGGGTGATCTCTTAAGAGATGGGTGCCACTTCTTTTAGTATAGTCGTGATGATTTTCAAGCACCTTGTACATGCCGATTCATCCTAGATGTAAATCATCCTGAATGGAAGTGGACTGAATTTAAGCATGTTCTCTGCATATAAAAAGAGATTCCTATGACTTTAGTGTTGCTCTGTTATTTGTGCGACTGACACTGACTAATAACTATCAAACTAATGCTTAAGGCTGTCTTTTGTGTCAAAACTGGCAATTGCCAAGATTTTGCAATCGTCAGTTTTAGCTATTAGATTGAACACACAGCTAGCAGTTTCTTCCCACAACAAGTAGAGGACTATTATTTGGTTAAAGCTTATCTGGGCAATTATATCTTTCTCATGCAATTTATATGTGAAAGCTGCAGTTCCTACCTTTTTATATGGAGCAGCACATGAAAAAGGACGAACTCTTGATTCAGTAAGAAGAGAGCTTGGCTACTTTAGGCCTAACACTAATGGAAATATCTGGGCGGGAGGGCTGAGCTCAGAGACTTTACCTTTGCATCCAGATGAAGGACCAAATCAAGCTGACCTATCTAAGGGCGTTGTTGTAATAGGGAGTACAAGATGGGTTGATAACTACAACGTCCCAATCTTTTCCACCAATCTTTCAGCTGTTCGTAGAATTGCCAAACTCGTTAGTGAAAGAGGAGGTGGACTTCCATCAGTTCAAGCTATGGCACTTTCTCATGGAGAGGAAGTTATTGAGGTTGCTTGCAATTTACTGGAACCGAATAAGGTTGGAGGAGATCAAGTTCAAATTGAAGTTGAGCGCCTTGCACAGGAAGAAGGTATGGTTGCCAGAAAGGGTTACTTTACTGACTTTTCACAAGAACAAATCATCAATGCTTTCTTGGATTCTGGAGATACATCTGATTGACCATTACTAACTTGTAAGTAGAATTATCTCTATAAAGGTGCCAGATTTATTTGATGCATCATACTCTCGAGATAAATAACTTCCAATTATAATACAACATATTACAGTAGCAGTCAAATCTCTCCTTCATTTTTGTTGTGATTTGAGTTCGCTACTTGTGTTACATGTGCTACGTAACTAACTTGGGTGAAAATTGCTGTTAATCAATGGAGTATTTATTTGTTAGTTAATGATGGCTATGACATTTCGTCTCCTGCTAAATGCCTGACTAGCTATGTAAATAGACATTTTCTTGTGGTTTGGACTCAATTTTGGTGTCCTTAATCTTCAGACTGTTCCGGGTGGTTGTATATCATAATTAGTGTTCCGAGTTTTTACATCCTTGTGTCTTTGGCGTGCAAAACACATGCTCTTTGGATTGCATTATATCATGAGTTTTTCACATCCTCTTTTTCCTTGGGCATTTAAATCAAAGGTGTCAAGGATCATTTCTCTTTTAACTAGTAGAAAAGTTGCTCAAGGGCAGTGGACTGAGTGGAGGAAATGCACCTGTTTTACAAAATTCAAAGCCAAAAATAGGTTTTTGTTTTTACTACCTTAAAAAAAATCATTTTATTTTATTTTAAGACCATCTCCAATGGTGAGACTTGAGGGAGTTTTTTTTAGGACGGAGTGTTTTTTTTACAAAATATACCAATAAGTTGGTATCTTTTTTTACAAAGAATACCAATAAGTTGGTATTTAAACTTTAGCAATTCCAAAAGAAAGTTGTTAAGTTTAGATACTCAACTTTGAGTCTCATTTGACAAAAAGTGTGGGCCCTTTATTAATATTATAATATATTTTGTAATTTATTTAAGTTTTATTTTATTATTTTTTTGAAAAACTTACAATATGGATTTGATGGGCCATAAATTGAAATTGATATTAGTATACTTTAGAGAGTCTCACCATTGAGAAATTACATTTCACATAAGTTGCTAAATTGAGAAATGGGTTAGATATCACCATTGCAGAACAACTCATTGTGTATTTTAATACTCAAAGTTGAGTCTCACTAATGGAGATGGTGTAATACTTTAACAAACATTTGATTTTACTACCCACACATGATTTTTTTCTCTTTATTTTTTATTTTTTTTTATTTGATTTGCATGCTGAAAAAAATTATTTGGCTAAGGTTGGGGTCGTTTTGGTCCTTAAGACATTAGTTTGCGGTCATAATTATAAATTTTTTTAGGCTTGATTCAAGTGTCATTTAAAAAAAGAAAAAAGAAAAGAAAAGAAGAAAGTGTCATTACTTTCAAGTCGAAAATATTGCATGGTTAATTAAGGTTTATGAGGTCATATAGGCTCTTAACGGTAGTTTAAATTAGTGAAAGTATTACGAGAAATGTCTTTTTTTTTTTTGAAAAAAGAGAAATGTCTTGTTTTGCGTTTTATGAAATGACTTATTTTTGCTAAATTGAACTTAACTTATTTTTATTGAATTATTTCTTTTACCAAAATGTTGCCTTAGGGTTAGTTTTTTTTACCAAAATGTCGTAGGAGGTTTTTAATTTTTTTTTGTAAAATTTAATTTTTTTTTACCAAAATTGTCATTAAAAGTCAGATTTTAAATTTTTATTTTTATTTATTAATTTTTTTTTACCAATCTATTTAATTGGCCGTTACTCTCTCTGTTTCAAAAAAAAAACACCCCAAATTGATTGGTATATTTGCCAACATGTAATTTTGACCAATAATATTAGATTATCATAATATAAATTATAAAAAGTTAATAATTGAAAATTATACGTCGAAGAGATTCTAACAATTATACATACATGTGACAAAATTTTATTTAATACCTCGAATATGAGTATAAAGATCTAATAGAGGTCAAAATGGTGTATGCAATTATGCAAATAGTGCAAAAGTTTAAAAAAATACGGAGTATTTATTTTGAAACGGAGGAAGTAAGATGAGAACAAAATATCTCTATTATATAAAAGAAAGGGATAGGCTATGGTGTCCACCTAAAATGACCACAAAACCCCCTCTTCTTTTGGAAAAGATAATTAAAAAAAAAAAGGAAACATAAAAAGAGGAAAGATGAATCAGTAGGGGTGTAAATGAGCCGAACTAAGTCGAGTACTACCTTGTTAATGCTTAAGTTCATTTAACATAGGCGACTCTAACCACGATCTTGAGCTTACAAGCGAGTTCAAAAATTTGTTCAAGCTCGTCTCATTTAGTACACTGTATGTTTCGCGAATGCTTCGTGTGCGGCTCATTTATTGAACGAGTTTATAAACGAGCATTTCTTGAACGAGCTTCTCTAATAAACAAGCTTTGTACTTTTGACATTTAAAAATCTCAAATCGTAATTGTTTCGGGGTTTTTTTGTGTGTCCTGCGGGAGAGTTACAACACCAAGACTGACCTCCGGCTGCTTGTACCTGCAAAACAACGGAGACTCCCGGGATGGGAGTTCCGCCTCCGACGATCAAGTTAGAACGTGTATGAGGAGTAAAGTGCGGAATGTAAATGTGATCAGGCTCCTCTTAGGAGAGGAGTAATCTTCCGGCTGTCTGAGACAGCCTCAATATCTGAGTGTTTTACTCTCTGATTTGTGTGGATTGAATGTGTATTCAATATATATCCCCTGTTTAACTAATGTAAATGATCAGTATTTATAGAGTCTTGGGGGTAAGTGCCTCTTAGGTTATTTTACCTAAGTTGATGGGCCTCTTCCCGCTTTGCGGTTTCTAGGGCTGTGGACTTAAAGCCCGCTTTTCCCTTTGGATGACACGTGTCATGCCCTAATTGGCTCATTGAGCGCTGAGCGTAAGGACACGTGTCGCATCAGCATAGGTCCATTTGCCAGGGGTATTTTTACCCCAAACATTAGCCCCTCAGAAGGAGTAATCTCTCGTTTAAGGGAGATTGTTCCTTTCGAAAGTAAGACACTTTTTCACTATTCACACACCTCTTTTGAATTTCTTTTGTGATTTATTCGTTAGAATATCATATTTTTAAATATCATATTTTTAAATAGTTATATGTAATAATTTATTGCATTTGCCCCATAATTTCGTGATTAATCAATTTATTACATGGTTATGACACACACAAAATGTGCATAATTACACTTCTACATTGGAATCCTTCTTTAACTCGACTCATTCTATGAAAGAGTATTAAATATTTAAATTTACTTACTTGTCCCTATCTATAAATATGAGTGAGAAATCAATAATAATCATGTTTCATAAATAATAAATGTAGCTTTTTCTTATAAAATAGAATTAAGGTTACATTAATTTTTTCTTGTTACTTATGATTATATAATTATAATTATATGATTCAGTTCACTTTTAATAATTGTATCATCTCATAATTAAATTATCACTTCTTATCATGCTTGTAAACAAGTCATTAAATAGAATTTATCAAACAATCCAAGAATCATAATCTTCTTATAATGATGTCACTTCAATTTTCAAAGTATTTAAAATATCTAATAAGATACTATGTGAATATTAAAAAATTCATACATGCATACATACCAAATAAAATTATGGTGAACAGCCACAACCACTAAAAATCATCTCACTCGATTCTCCTATATCGTAAAAATAATTATTGTCAAATGCATAATTAAAATATTTTAAGCCTAAAACAAGAAAAAACATTTTCATGTGAGAAATAAAAACTTGTAGGAAAACTTCTGAAACGACTACTATCATTAGTAACACATACACATCTAAATCCCTTCCAATTCAAAGTGGAATCTCGATTTTGATAACTTTGATATAAATTATTACTATAAAAAAATAACATTCATTAAGATATCTTTATTTAACTACAACTATAATAAATCATTTTATAATAAATTGAGACATTTAATGCAAGAAAAATAATCCCTCCATTTTTTAAAGTACGCATCACTTTAATCGGCATAATTTTTTAGGAGACTGACTTGAATTCTATAAATAATATGCACAAAAAAAATAATACATTGTATAAAATTTCATAGTATCAACTAATTATAATAAATATACGATCAAAATTATTAAAGGTAAAATAATGTTATGTATCAACAAAATGTATATTAAAGTATTTCAATTACTTTAGGATATATATATATTTTTTTTTTTACAAAAACTTTAGGATGATAAATTTTGGAGGGTATCCCTCCGTTTCTTTTTATTGGTTATTATCAGATTTTAAATATTATTCCTAATACTTCATCTGTTTTTTTAATGGGTTATGTATAGATTTTAAACACTATTCATAATACTCCCTCCGTCCCAAAATATATGAGACGTTGGACTTTTTTCACTATTCATGTATTAGTTTTGATCATAATTTTTTACTAACATAATTAAAAACATATTTTATCATAAAATATGTTTTTAAATAGGTATATATATAAAGTTTCAAAATATAATTTTAAAATAATTTTCATAATATTTAATTATATACAAATAAATTCAAAGTAGTGCATTGACATGTGTGCAATGTTGATTGTGTCATGTATTCTGGGATAGAGGGAGTATTAGATAATCTTCAAATTTACTCACAAAAATAAAAGAGTTGTGTGAGATCATGTTTGATTCGTCTCAACGAATGCTCTATTAATATTCAATCGTTATAATTTTAAAAGTATGTAATGAATAATAATCAAATAGGTGTATTGACAAACGTGTAAAAGTCAAAACTTATCCAATAAAAAGTGAAGAATGGAGTATTATACTTTAGATATAGGGTAATTTTGTGAAAATTTAAGAAAATTTTACTAACAATCACCATTATAATGACTACTTTGAGAACAACTAACTACCATTTATTTATTTTATTTTTTTGTGTAAAAAAACTCTATGAAAATCTACCACAAAAACCTTGAGTAACACAATTACATTTAATTTCTTGGCAATGACCTCCAATTGAGGAAGCTAAAAAATCGGTCGTTTCAACGACAAGGGAAGGGTGGAGGGGCGGTTTTATTGACCTGAGAAGGGATGGGCTATTTGGGGGATGGGGGTGGTTTCGATAGTATAGGTGGGTCGCCGAGTGTTTTTAGGGGTAGGGAAGGGCCGACCGACTGTTATCGGTTGCTAGGGGAGGCAGGCGGTCAAATTTCGGTCAGGCTGGGGGTTGGGGCTGAGGGGAGGAAGGATGGTAGCTGGCTGGGAAGGGTTTTTAATTTTTTTTTTCTTTTTTTTTACAAAAAAAATTTGGACCAATTATGTTGTGACACATCACACATGGCTTTTACAAAATAAAAGTCACCCTTTCTTTAAGTCAATGGTAAATCGACCCAGTGGAAGAAAATCAACCCAAAAGTTCATAGTGCTCCCTAATTAATGTAAGTTGGGATTATTGAGAGTAAATTGCTGAAAGTTCGGATTAATAAATTAAAGTGATTTTTTCTAAAAATTAAAACTTAAATTTTGGAAGCACCCAATATAATAGATCGAAAAGCGAAGAAAAGTCGAATTCAGGGTAAATTGGAGGATGAAATGGAGTCGTTTGACTCTTGGAATTACCCTTTTTAATCTCTTTAGTTTTAATAAAAATGTATTCATTTAATGGAAGTGGTGTTACTTATATTTGTTAGGAGATGTAGCAAAATTTCAATTTCAGATTTACATAAACCCGTAGTAGGTGTTGTTAAACCCATTTGTATGTGATATCGGTAAAAGTCATTACAACATCATGACCTTGTATGAGAATATATACTCCTTCTGTCTCACAATATAGATTTTGTTTTCCTATTTTAGAGACCCAAATGTTGTTCTTGTTTCTATTTTTGAATAGTATGTAAAGACCATTATACCCTTATTTTTTACTTTATTCATTGAACTTCTTAATTTACCCTTAACTTATTCACTTGCATTGTACTTTTTCACTTTCTCTCTCTAACTATTGTCTATAATTGAACTTTTCACTTTTTTCCCCTTAAATTATCCACTTGCCTTATACTTTTGTCTAGTTCTTTTCCACTTCTCCTCCCATTTCTTAAATACTGTGAAAAAAACACAATAGGAACTATATTATGGGACGGAGGGAGTATAAGATATGATTTTGTCAGATCACAAAGAAATGTGATTGACATGTATGAAGCATAGATCTCAAGAGGATTTTATCCATTTGAATTACTGGGGTCCCTTAGGGTAAGACATACTGATTTTGGGTTGTCTCCGTCATTTCAGCAATATTCATAGACTTTTAATTGTATGTTAGAAAATACCTTGCACAATACGAAACATCATCACCAATTTCCCTCGTTCTATCAATAGTCTCATCGCATGTTTAAATGTATATTGGTAAGCCTTATATGCGTTGTCCTCAATCGTTGTAATAGCTAAAAGGTAAATATCGTTAATGACCTTAATTGATATTGTGTAAGGACTTCTTATGCCAATAGTAACTTATGGTACTTACTATCCTTTTGTTTGTTGTAAACTCAGTTCAATTAATGTAATTTCAACTTGTTTTTAAAAAAAAATCTTTAAAACTTACAAAGAATTGATACAAGTTTTGGTGTATGAAAATATTTAAAAAATGTTTACATAAAACCTTTATAAAGCCCACCTGTCTCATAATTAGACAATCATATAAAGACCCGTCCCATTTATTTATTAGACGGATCTAACCCACATTATAACTATGGCGGGTCATGGCTTTTAAAGGCCTCCATTCCTATTTCCTACCTCTCTGAGTTATTTCATTGAAGCGCACTCAACGTTCTCCATTGAAGCGTTCTCCGTTGAATCTAATTCTTGTATCCCCCATTGAAGCAGCTTCTAAGGTAAGTTGTTTGTTGTTGTTATCATCACATCAATTTCACAATCTAGGGTTTATATTTGATCTAATTTAATTTAATTATCAGTGCTTTAAGTTTAGGGTTCGCAAATTCTTAGATTATGAAACATCATAGCCAAAAGAAAAGAAAATTATGAACGTAATTTGATTATTGAATCAAGTATCCCTAAAATTATGTATTTTTCGAGATAATTCAATATGAAATCAAATCTCTTTTCCCCGGGCCTGGGGCGGCCGCCCCTCCTGCCCTGCCTCAGGGACGGGCCTGCTGGCCTGGGCCAATGGCGGCTGCCTCTCGTGCCCCGGCTCAGGGATGGGCCTGTATCGCTTGATTAAACTCAGTTAGTCACTCAGGAAAATAATCAAACACTTGGTGGGTCTCATTTGCCAGGTAATTTTCGATTGTCGGAGACTCTGGCAATGGCTCAACCGCAGAGTGCTCAAGCTGCACAAGTTCCAGGGAAGTCTAATGCCCGTGTTGTGAACCTAGGGACTAATAGTAGTAATGCTGGTGTCTCTTCGTCTGTGGGTGTTGCTGCTACTGGTTCTGCGAATACCAAGAAGAGTCATAATAAAAATTCTAGTAAGCCTCAAAGTTCTTCTGGGACTGGTGGTGGTACTCCGTTTAAGACAATGGAGCTTGCTCCGGCTGCTCGTAGGAAGAAAAGGAAGGTTCCGGAGAATAAATTACCTGAGAAAGTGGCAGCCCTTTTGCCAGAAAGTGCTATTTACACCCAATTATTGGAAATGGAAGCCAAGGTTGATGCTGCCCTTGCTAGAAAGAAAACAGATATTCAGGAAACTGTAAAAAGGCCTCCCTGTGTTCAGAAAACACTTCGTATATATGTGTTCAACACTTATGCCAATCAGCCACTTGAAAATGGTGAAAATAAGAGTTCCGAAACTCCTACTTGGACGCTTAAGATAATTGGGAATATATTGGAAAATGGGGGTGATTCCAGCTCCGGGACTATGGATAATAGGTCCACTCCTTTCCCAAAATTTTCTTCTTTCTTCAAAAAAATAACCATATGCTTAGATCAGACCCTTTATCCTGACAACCATGTAATAGTATGGGAGAATTCTCGTTCTCGTTTGCTTCATGAAGGATTTGAGGTTAAAAGGAAGGGAGATAAGGAATTTACCGCAATTATAAGGCTTGAAATGATTTATGATCCAGAGAAGTTTAAACTATCAGCTGCTCTTACTCAAGCTCTTGGACTTGAGGCAGAAACTCGCCCAAGAATCATGGCTGCATTGTGGCACTATGTGAAGATTAAGAAGTTGCAAGACTCGAATGATCCAGCATTCTTTATTTGCGACCCACCTCTACGAGAAGTGTTTGGTGAAGAGATGGTTAAGTTTGCTGTGGCTTCACAGATTCTCACTCAACATTTAACTCCTCTACAACCCATACATTTGGAGCATAAGATTAAGCTTTCTGGAAACAATCCCAGCGGAAGTATGTGTTATGATGTGCTTGTTGATGTTCCTTTTCCTTTAGAGAAGGATATGTCTGCAGTCCTGGAAAAGATGGAGAAATGCAAAGAAATAGATGATTATGACAAATCCATTGCTGCTGCTATAAAGAAGATCAATGAGCATCGGCAAAGACAAGCTTTTTTCCTTGGCTTTAGTCATTCACCTGCAGAGTTTGTTAACACATTAATTGCTTCTCAGGATAAAGATTTGAAGGTTGTTGCTGGTGACGCAGTTCAGAATGCTGAGAAAGAGCATCGAAGTGACTTTTTCAACCAACCTTGGTAAGGAACATTACTATTTCTCACTGGTCATTAAATATATTAGGCACCATTATAGCATAATATATGCTTGGCGTTACCTTAATTAATTTTCTGTAATATATAATCAGAGATTGAGCATATAACGGGTAAAGAATGCACTTCCATTAAACTCCCCTCTCAATTTATAAGGTATTATAAGATATATTTTTAGTCCAATTCTTAAGGGGCTTAGGTATATTAACTGTGAATCTCACACACCTCTCATGGAGATTCAATGAAGACGGAATAAATTTTCCTTGTAAATGTAGTTGGATTTTGATCTTATAGTGAAACTTGAGAATTTTTTCTTGTTGTTTATTTGTCCATATGGAATGCAATTTTGGACATTGATTACTTGATTATTTATTGTGAAGTGAGATGGATTAACTAAACATATTATGTAGCCTGTGTAGGATGGACAGTTGCCTAAATAAAATACTTTGCTTCTAATGCAGTGCTATTGCCATCATTATTTGTTTTCTTGGAGATTAGAGAGTATTATACGGAGAGAAAATTAAAAACTTTTTATGATATGAAAAAATGAATTTGATTATATATTTCAGTATATTGGCTATTCCTAGATTTTCATGCCTCAGTTTAGATTTCAGGTTGCTTCTTCTTAAAGTACATTCCTAAACTGTATATTGTATGTTCTTGTACATGTGTTAAAAAGTCTCATTTCTCAACACACCAAATTTGTTGTAACCTGTAATTTGAGCTTTAAAACTTAATCTTGTCGATAGCTCCCACATTTTAAACATGTCCTAATCAATTTAATCCAGTACCTCTAAACCTAAGAGGTTAAAGATGGTAATAAAAGTATGGGTAAAGAGAGAAAAATAAAGGACAGCATAAGTATTGTGATAGAGGGAGGAAAGAAGTTTGGTGTATGGGAAAGAGAAGAATTGTATTAAATTACGAATATCTCTTTGGGAATGCCTTATTAGGATGGTGTGGAAAGCAAAAGTATTACTCTACATGCTGATCCCCTTTATTCAATAATTTTCAATTTTGCCATGTCTACTTGTTGGGGGTTCTTGTTTCCCAAACAAGTATTGTTATAGTTTGGTAAAAAGACATAGCAGCCTTTGATCGACACAACTGGGGTGTCTGTCAGATTATGTGAAGTTTAATCACCCTTTGGTATACAAAGGAAGTTAGTATCTATCTACAATAACTATAATATATAATAAATGCAAAATCTAAATATTTTTGGCAATCCTCTTAGAAATTTTTTTCTTACAATTTAATATTTTCCTTTCCATCTGGCTATCAATCCTATCATATTTCTTCCATGTACAACTAATTAAAATAATATTTTATATCTTCAATATATTATATTCGGGTCCTCTACGGCAAAAATAGTGGTAACGGGTAGTTTTTAGATGTCGAATAGGAGTAGCTAGTAGTTTTATTAGTAGTTTTATTAGCTAGTAGTTTTGTTAGATATCAATGTAGCGGTTGATATTAGAGTGTTTGGCAAAAATAGCGGTTGAGATATTAGACTACAAGCAAAGCCATACATATTATATAAAAAGTAACCAAAAATTTTAAATGCTAACATTTTTTATGTTTAAGAAAAGTTACCAAAACGCTACCTCGACCACTATTACATGAAGCGCTACCTTACCAAACACTTATTTTTTTCTTACTAGAGTTTTGACTTGTCCAAATGCTAACCACTACCTAAAATGCTTCCGTCAAACATTTTCAAAAACTCAAAAAAATGATGAACTTAGATGAAGCAATGCGTTAAAATAAAATTTTATTAAAGCAAAAATTCATTTTATTATGTTAATTCAAAACCGATGTAAATTTCTCTTTTAATTATGTAGAAAATTATTGCTTTATCATGTCACAAGAATTACTTTATACAACAACAAAGCCTTAGTCCCAAAATGATTTGGGGTCGGCTAACATGAATTGTCATAAGGAATCGTACGATATACAGAAACAGACATAACAAAACCATTATTTAAAAGATTTTGAAAAAAGGTGAGTAAAGTGAGTAAATGAAAGAGCATTCAAGAAAAAATAAGGGAGTTTTAAAAGAGAATCAAGAATAAAATTCAAGAAAGTTTTAAAAGAGTGGTTAAAACATTCAAGTTGAACGCATAAGGTTTGAGAAAACTTTAGCAAAGGAAAACAATACTTTATACGTAGTACTCAAAGAGTAAAGACACCATGAAGTTTGTCCTACAACTTTTTATATAATTCTTTTTGTTAGATATCGTAGAAGGCTAGAATATTTCCTTTTTTTTATTTTTATTTTTAAATAGAGCGTATATTAATTTAAGGATGATACTCTCTCACTCACTTTCCGTTTTCATCCATTTTCTCAAGTTCTATTCACTTTTACTTTATTCCTTTTATAATTATCTTTTATTTATTTTTTTTATCAACTACAACCTCACTTTGTGGAGCCAACTATGTTAAATACATCCCTTACTCACCACCCCTCTCTTTTCTTTAAAGCAAAAGTAGTCGCATGCATGGTTTTGAAAACGGAAGGAGTATAATATATATGAGCATAAATTTTTAGAGTTAATTTTTTTTTTAAATTTTAAAATACATATCAACTATGACATGGGTCAAAATGTGCAAAGTTTTCCCACCATATTCTTTTCAATTTAAAAAATAAAAAATTTAGAAGTATTTCTTTCTATTTTTAACTACTATATACAACTCTATATGAGTTATTGGATCTTGCCTCTCTGATATACATAATATACTTTTATACTGAATCCATTAATAACATATCAATAAATAAGGAGTTGTAAATATATACAAGTAAATTTACAACTACCCAGGTTGATAATCACTTTGCATATTTTGAAAAGTAGTATGTAGTGTGTATAGTATATAGTAAGTAATCTTAACAATAAAATAAAATAAAATGTAATATACTCCTGTTCTTTTTTTATTTTTCTACTTTCCGTTTTGATATGTTTTATTTTTTATTTTTTTATCTTTATTCCTTTTTTGTTAAGGAAAATTTCCACTTTTATCACTTTTTACCCAACTACATGATCCACATAAAACAATATAATAATAGCAATGTTTTTAAACAATTTTCTTTCTTCTACTTAAAAAGTAATAAAAAAAAGGACCTACTTTCCACTTACTATGAACCGTAAGTAGGAAGATAAAAAAAAGAACGGAGGGAGTGTATATATAAGGAAAAAACTACTACATATAATTTATAATATTGTTAGAAACAAATTTCATAATTTTTATTATTAAGTTCATATATCGCACAAACACACGAGTTCTAACCTAAATTTTTGATTTTAAAATAAAATTTTGAAATGATATGGGCACCTTATCATACATTTCATAAAGGTAATGAATATTTTTAGATATTTTTACATTGACTAATAGACTGGAAGGTGACTTTGTTCTTGTTAAATTAAAAAGATTTTCCCATATTCCCTACAATTTTGTTTTCATATTTTCAAAATAATATCTAAAAGTATCAATAGCCTTAATGTCTCTTATACAACCCTAATATTTTTCTATAGGTGTAGGTTGAAAACGATATTATATGACAAAAATTCTAGTTATGAGTATTTATTTGATGTAAAGATATACAATGGTATTTTGGTATAGTTATTGTTAAACTAAAAAATCATTGCATTTCATTATCTCTTGTGCATGGTACTAAATCTAGGCCGCACAACTGTCAACCACATTGTAAAGGAATTTAAGCTTACTGATATATTAGGCCGTCATAGCCGCATTCCACCCGCATTGCCCGCAAAAGTGTTTATATGGCCATCATCGCGATCAAGATCACATCCAAGATTTAAAATCATGTCCCTTGATTTTTTTATTTTTTCAAAAAAATAAATAAATTATCTTCGTACTTTTTGTTTAGATATGTTCTTTTTTATACTTTTGCTTTATTTCTATTTTTGTAAAGGAAATTTTCACTTTTACCCTACCTTGCCCCAATTCAGATTGACATTATACTATTAAATAATACCAATGTTTCAACACAACTTTCCTTTTCCTACCCAAAAAGTTTTATGTGAAATACTTGAAGGCTTATACTCGAAGACACTAGGTTGTAGGGCCTCCCTTTAAGAATTCCTAGAAACATTGGAAAAATTACAATGAATCCTTTTCTAGCATACAGTAGACAATTTCATTAAAATCTCGTGAGTATCATAAAGCATTTAACCTTACTAGTTGAGGTGAATAAGTGATAATCAAGACGTATGAGGTACTTGCATTTATAACTTACTAGGCTTTTAGATCAATATTAGAGCTAATTCTCTATTTTAGTGTTGTTCCATGCATTTCTTAGATAACCCTTAGCCAGCGAATCAAAAATTACCTTCACATAGCTAGAGTTTCTTTTTCATTCTTTATTTTTTGAAATCATTTTACATTGGAACAGACTATGCATTAAAATAGCTTTATCATCTTACCATTTTCCTCCATGCATTCTAGTTCTTATTTTGTGCATCTATTTTTTCATAATTCTTATGGTTAATAATTATGGAATAATATAGTTTCTTATGCTTGAAGTATTTCTAGGTTGCGTATTATTTTGTATTAGTTTGATAATAGTATTGTCCCTTCATTTTTTTTTACTGTCACCGACAGTCACAAGTACTAATAATGTCACCAGTTTAGGTATGCGTTCGATCTTGTACATGGGACGTATGCTGGCTTGTGAAACATAACTTACACAAATCATTTAGAAGACAATTTTAATTGCTCTATGAGATAATAATGTTGACTTTTCCTGGTTTTTTGAATAGGGTTGGTTAGGTCGGAAAGTAAAATAATTTCAGTTTTGGACTTGGTGATTTTTTAGGCGGGCTGTTTTTGGTTTCAGACTGCAAAGTTATGATCATAACTAACTCTAATTTTTTCTGGTGGTGTTGAATTCAGTAGTTGGATTTGGCTATCGGGTTGACTTTTAGTCCTGTCTTAATTTCTTCATGCCTGTTAAATACTTTTTCCTGGCTTTTGGAATTTTGCTACTCTAATGTTGTAATTTTCTATTTATTTGATAGGGTCCTAGATCAACTTTCGTTTTGAAATCATGTCATCAACTCTTATCCTGAACTTTGATAACGTATGTTGTAGGTGTTTATTTCTATTCACCCAGACTGTTATGCCATTTGTTGGTAGAATGAGGGGACACTAGCTGTATCTGGACAGTGGATGTGGTTGAATTTTGTGATTGAGAGTGAAGTTTTGTACAAGGAGTATCAATCTAAAGATTACTAGAACATAAAGATGGTGAGATACATGGGCCCTAGGAGCTTTTGAGAACTGGAAGAAAGTATAAATTTAATTTCAATTTCAAAAGCTTGGACTCTAAAACACTATATTTATATTTTGTTAAGCTTTTGTGTGTTCAATAGCTAAAGTCTTTTCTCCCAGTAAATCAATAGAGTTAATCAACTAAGAGATTCATTTTTTCTTATGAAAAATCAAATTTTCAAATACACAACTCTCAGGTTAGTACACAAAGCATTAGCACACCCATACTAAGCTACCCATTAAGTACACATATGCAAGGTGTCCAAGAGGGGATTGAGGGATACATCACCAAGACTTTGTTAGAGGAGTGTGACAGCATTTGTCTTGAAGAGGAAGATGAAGGGTGTATCATCAAATGACCTTAGAGTTGGTTAGCTTTGGGAATGGAGTCAATGATGAGAGTAGTATACTAGATAAGTACCCTAGCATTGGTGAAGTGATGACTCTTCTATCGTAGGGTACTAGGGTACCCTAGCATTGGTGAAGTGATGACTCTTCTATCGTGAGCTCAATACTAGGTAGGGCTTCTTGGTGGCCAATGAAGAAAGAGGGGAGATAAAAGAGTATTGCTAGCAAAACTTGGAAGCAGAAGAAGACAGAAAGATGACTGTTGGCTCGAGAGAGAGAGAGAAGAAAGAGAGGCAGTTGGTTTGGGACCCTTGTTCAGTTTTTCAGGCAGCCACTTAAGTAGCAAGGTTTTGATTATTGATTAATCACCTTTGGCTGGGAGATTGCCTGGCTGATGATCAGTTCTCAGCCATATAGCTGACTACTTAGAAGAAAAAAAAAACCCATATAACTCTGTTGGTATTGAAATCTTTGTCTCATTTGGACTCTTTGGGTCTGAGCAATGTGCTTTTTGCTATGATTTCAGCTGATTAATCAAAAAGCGAATTGCCCTAATTTTGGGTAAGATATGTGCTAGTAGCAAAGAGTATCTGATTAAGCTTTAAAGGTGCTAAGAGCTGGAGGGATTACTATGTAGTTGCGGTTGCAAAGAAAGATTTATCTACTCTCAGGTTATTGTAAGATTTTGCTTTGGGTTGACTTCATTGTGAAACAATTTCGGTAGGCTGGTTGTTGTGGAAAAGAACATGTTTGGGGTCAAGGAAGTTGCAATGCTTGTTTCTTCGTTCTTCTAATGGTCTGGTTGCTTGATTATTGTTCTAATAATTTTTGTTTGTTCATTCTAGGGTTGAAGATGCTGTTATGCGTTACGTGAATCGCAAAACTGCCAGTGGAGGTGATGCTGCAGGAGCTACATGATTTGTGATATCTAATTAGGTACAAGGTTATTGCATGTTGAATACTGATGATTGGACCTCTATTTTTGGCGTCACAAAACATAATGTGAGATGCTTTTTTGTTCAAAAGATACTAGCACCCTAGAGTAGATAGCATGTCAATATTATCACAGAGATGAAGTGAGGACTTCAACTGCCTTGTATCTCATAAGGAAATATTAGTATTTCTAGCAGTATTCTGAGCATGCGTATTCTTATTCTCTTGTTACTAGCTCTAGTTTGGAATGAGATTAAAATGTCAGCTAGTAACCTCCTTTTAATGTCCTATTTCTTCGTTAAATAACTAGTTCATTTTTTGTAGTTTCACATCATGAGTAATGTAATAGCTAGGATTGTAGAAATTGTGATAATTTTTAGCCATCAACAGAAGAGGTGTGACCATGTGAGTGCTTTGTTTCACATTCGCATTTGTTGAATTGATTCTTGTACGTATCTCTTCAATTGAAAAGTAATCTTTATCATGGTTGCTACCGTGTAACTCCATAAAGATGTAAAATGCTATGGTTGGTTTGGTCTGAGGTTCAACCTGTTCCGTGTACAGAAGAAGGAAAAATGAAGTTCGGTTCAAAAACTTCAGGAAGGTTTATACAGGGTAAATGAATAAGGTTAGGTTTCTAGTATTTGCCACGACTGGGATCTAGTAGATCTAGGAGCGAAATCAACACAAGATCAGGTTGAATCTGCTTGATCATCTTTTAGATATCGGAGCGAAAGCATAACAAAAACAGGTTGAATTTCTCCAGTCTTCTAGTAGATGTGGGAGCAAAAGCAACACAAGAACAGGTTGAATCTTCTCCGATCTTAGAATGTTAAATATACAAAATAGAATAGGAAAATACATTAATTGAGTAGATAAGATTTGTTTTCTTGCTTTAGCTTTTACATAATATTCTACAAAGAATGTAGAATATTGAATATGTATGTATATTTGTTAAAAATAATAGTCCGACAAACAAGCAAAATCATGTATAAATGGTTTAACCGTATAGAATTTGCAGTTTCAGATTATATTGATAAGTAATAGTTACTCCGTACTAAACTAGATTAAGGCTCTGTTTGTTTCAAGGGAAAAGCCTTTCCCTGAAAATAGTTTTCCTATTTTCTATTGTTTGTTTTGGACCGGCCTATAAAATGAAAAATAAGTCTAGAAAATACTTTTCCATTGAGGCCCAAATATTTTCCCTAAAAAATCAAGGTATTCCTGTCTTCCATCGTTTCTCCTGCTCGCTGCTCTCTCTCTCTCATCCTCAAGCTCGCTGCTTCAAGATCTGCTCTCACAAGGTAATTTCCTACTTATTCTGTTTCCTTTCTTTGATTGTTTGCTTCTTTATTGGATTCAACTGGTTTATTTGATTCAACTGCTCTCGAAATTCTAGGTTAGGTTTGTGATTAATTAGGGTTTGTTAATATTCTTCTGTATTAAAGAACAAGTGAAGTAATAATGAAGAATTCTGGAATTTGGTTGAATTTTTGCTATTGATTTGGGAATTAGGGTTTGCACGTAAAATCAATTGCTGGACTTCTGTACTTTGGCTGCTTCCAGTGTAATGTGATGAAGCTTCTGTGTATGAATGTGACTGATATCGATAATATGCTTATTTATGATGTTGGCTGTAAATTTCCATTAGCGGCAAAAATTCAGCTCTAGTTATACAAGAATTGGAGCTGTGATCATCTATGTTAGTTGATAACTGTCGATATATATAGTATGTAGTAGAATAATAAGGCTAGCTGATGTTCAGAAGTGTCTGCTATAGTATAATCTTAGGCTATCCTAGTTGATAACTTTCTATAGTAATATTTGTAGTAGAATAAACCTGCTTAGCATTCTTACTGTTGTTGCTGGATTATTGATGTTTAATCAATATCTTGAATTCATGTTATAAAAGTATGTAGTATTATTAGTATATAGTTTCTGTTATTAACTGGTTTTTTGCTGAAGTATAATGTTGCATTGCATTGCTTTGCTGTACCTAATATAATGAATGGTATACCACTTTGCTTTCTTCTAGTGTAGTTTGAGCAAAATTGCTTTGCTGTTTGTAGTCTAGTGTTTTCAGCACCTCCTCTGCCCACACTATCCCTGTCTCTGATAGGGATACATGTTCTAAAATAACTAACCTTTGTCTTATGGGGAAACTTTTTGGTGAAAATCTCTATAAGCATGTTATTGAGGGTAAGCTTAGAGTTGTTTTGTTAATTGTTGTTGTAAGTGTGTTGTTGCCGTTGAGTTAGATTGATCACTTTGATAATACCATCAATCATCATAATTTTCTTTTTTCTGATTAGTATTAGTTATGGAACCGGAGCGTGGATTGTCTACCCAAAAATCATCTAAGGTATAACTTTGCCCAAAAACCACTATCGAATTAATATACATATAAGTATGCTTAACCTTTTGTTTTTTTGATGGAATTGATGTAGATGACTAATGATACTAAAGGCATTGTTATTGGTGTTGTGGCTGCTGTTATTGCTTGTTCTCTTGCTTTTCTTAACGAGCGTAGGTCTAAAACAAGAAGGCTAAAAATAATTAGGCAACCTTATATTAATAGAGATAGTCTGAGGTCGGAGATTGTTAATAGTGTTTTGTATTGTGGTGATACTCATTGTTTGGGTCAGATTCGTATAAGGCCTCAAGCATTTTTCAATTTGTGTAATATTCTAGTTGAAAGAGGACTTTTGAAAGAAAATATTCGAATAGGTGTTAAAGAACAAGTAATGATATTTTTATACATTTTAGGGCATAATGTAAGATTTAGGGCAGCAGGGGGAAGATTTTTCCGATCAATTTGGACCATACATCATTACTTTCATGTTGTTCTTAAAGCCATCCTTAAATTGTACCCAGATTTTGTCAAATCACAAGCCTCTCCTCTTCCATCTGAAATTCAAAACAACCCTAGGTTTTTTCCTTGGTTTGAGGATTTCATAGGAGCTATAGATGGGACACATATACGTGCATCTGTCCCAATTGAAATGCAAGGTCGATTTCGTGGTAGAAAGGGTGGGACAACCCAAAATATGCTAGGTGCTGTTGATTTTGATATGAAATTTACATATGTGCAAGCAGCACATATGTAAATTTCATAGGTGCTGGTAGAAAGGTCTTGCAAGATGCGCTCAAAAAGGGATTTAAGGTTCGTAAAGGTACTTTAAGATTATTTTTTTGTCCGGTTTCTTTTATGTATTGGTTATAAGTTAGTAACTATGACAAATTTCTTTAAATTGTAGGATAGTATTACCTTGCTGATGTGGGGTATGGTGACCGTAAAGGATTCATGCCTCCATATAGGCGTACTCGCTACCACTTGAAAGAGACAATCCACCAATTATTTAATCTTCGGCACTCCTCACTAAGAATGGTTGTAGAAAGGGCATTTGGAGTATTAAAGAAGCGATTTCGTGTCTTGGATGCTAAGCCATTTTGGGCGTATGAAACCCAAGTAGATGTAGTTCTAGCATGTTGTGTGTTACATAACTACCTTAGAGGTGTTGACCCAAATGACCCAATTACAAGAAAAGTTGAAGTAGAGATGACATCACAAGATTTACAACACATGGGCGAAGCACGTACTCGAGGGAAACAATGAGAAGAAAACCAACAAATTGAAAGGAAGAGAATGGCCATTGCAACGGCGATGTGGACTGTATACAAGAAGGCTCGAATTTGATGGGCTTGGCATATGCATCTTTAGATAATTAGTTCATTAATTATGTATTTTATATTCTATAACAGTTTATCTTTTTAAAGATAACATTTTCAGTGATTATGTATTTTCAGTGATCAGTAGTGATGCTGTAATATTATGTTTTTTTTTCTTTCAGATTCTAATGCTACAGTGATTGTTCCAGGTTATAAAAGAAGAGAAAAAGGTCAACTTTCGTTGGTCAAAGGACATGTCAAAGGAATTTCTCGATTTTTTAGCTGAAGAACTTAAAAAGGGAAACCGGCCTAATAATACTTTTCGAACAAGTTCTTTTGTGGCTGCTGCGAAGATTATCTCTGAGAAGTTTCAAACCAATTGCACCTCAGAACATGTGGAGAATCATATGAAAACTGTGAGGAATGCATGGGTGGCTATATCAACAGTCCGAAACAACTCCGGGTTTGGATGGTACGATAACTTGAAGATGGTGACAGCATCTCCCACAGCATATGCTACTTATGTTAAGGTAGTGTTGTTTTATACACCTTTTCTAAACATGTTAATTTGTTTAATAGAGATTAATGGGATAATGTTTGTGATGGTGGTGCGCTGCTTCTTGCTTGTGTGTGTGTGCTGTGGTGAGTGCAGTGTGGTGTTCTGGTGAGTGCAGTGTAGGTGTTCTGGTGAGTGCATTGTGGGTGTTCTGGTGAGTGCAGTGTAGGTGTTCTGGTGCACTTGGAACAATAAAGCCACCTGTCTTTGATAGTCTCCAATACTGTGATACTAGCTTCCCCTCCGTATATGGGTAGGACCGTAGTAGTTCACTGGTTCCCTTTTGAGACTAGTACAACCATGGAGATAAATCCCTAGAGTTTTTTGTTTCTGAGATTTCTGCACTATTATCTGAGTTGTCTTAATCCTGAATTAAACTCATCAGTCTGAAGATAGAATGCATTTGGTTATTGAGAACTTGATGTTTGTGTATTGCTTGGCTAGATTTTGTCTTGTATTTGCCTCTCTGGCTCTTTAGTTTGGTTTTAAGCACTTTATAGTAGAGATCTTCCTGAAACTAAGTGAATTATGAATGTAACGACATTGTACAAATCTGGAACTAGTTTACTCAGCCAACTAGCATCATCCTAAATGGTAAATATTCCAACCCCCCCCCCCCCCTTCCCCCAAACAAAATATAACAAAAAATAAAAAATATTGCATAGTTTACTGTGAATAATGTATAGATCTGAGAACTGGTATACTCAGCCAATGCTCCTCTAATTCAATGACCTATAACAAGAGATTACATTCACTGAACCACCAGCATATATTGATTTTAGCCTTCAGTTTGCGTGCATATGACACACTAACATGAGTACTTCTGGCCAGTAGCTTAAGCTTTGCTAGTGTGGATTAGACGACCCTAATAACGTTTTATTTTTGCAGGAATATCCAAAATATGAAAAGTTTTTGAATCGAAAAATTGATATGTATGAGGAGATGGCTACAGTAGTGGGTAAAGATTTAGCACGGGGGAACTTCTCCAAGACATTTGCCGACATCGATGTTGATGCTTCAATGGAAAGTGGACAACCAAGTATGACTATTGATAGCGTGCCTTCCAAGGCTGAGAGTAAGGCTGAGAGTGGTACCTCGTCGGGCTCAAGGCCACATCGAAAGAGGTCTCGAATTGACGAAGGATCGGAAATGGAACACATTTCAGCACAACTTCAAGAAGTGGTTAGTGCTCTCAAAATTTTTTCAAACAATCAACTTGATGTGGAGAAGCTTTATGACGAAATTATAAAGATGGAGGACATTGAAGAAGGGGTGCATGTTGCGGCTTTTGATCACTTGGTGGAGCGCGAAATGCTTGCAAAAGCATTTTTGACAAAAAGCTTGCCACTACGCAAACTTTGGATCGAAAAGTTTGTCAAAGACCATAAACATTAAAGTCTGCTTGCTGGTAGTTTGCTCTTGCTGTCTTCTGCTTTGCCTTTTGTTTCCTGCTTCCTGTTGCTGTTTTGCTATAACTGCTATGCTGCAGCTTAAGGCTGCTGGAAGCTGCTTCTCCTGCTTCCTGGTTTGCTGTTGGCTGCTATATACAGCCGTTTTTCTTTTCTTATTTTTTTGCTGTTTGTTTGGCTTGGGTATTTGTATTCTTGGGTATTAGCAGAAATTTTTTATTATTAGTTTGAAGTGGTTAACATTTGTAGATCAAATATGAAGAACTATAGAATTTTAGCTCGTAAATCATTTACAAGGATGTTTTTGATGTTTTCTTATTACTAGTTTGGGTTTTGGAAAATAAATTTCCAAACAAACAAATAAAAATGGGATTCATAGAAAATGAATTTCCAAACAAACAAAGGAAAATGGGATACTTGGAAAATGAATTTCCTTACAAACAAAGGAAAACTAAACCAAATTTGAGTTTTCCTCCGGAAAATGGATTTTCATGGAAATTCATTTTCCATTAGATTTGTTTTCCGTCAAAACAAACGAAGCCTAATTAGCAAGATAGATATCTTACGTCTTCCTACATACATAAACTGATAGGATAAAATTCATATGATGTCGTAAAATTACCACTATTAAACATTTTAAAATGAAAATATTGATATAATGTGCACATCTTGGCGGATTCGTATGCCGTCTCATTTTAATGTGCCATATCTTGTTCGTCCCAATTTGCGATTACAAGATTTGTGATTTTAAAGAAATATTACAAGGTTCATTTGCCCTATAGGTCATAATTTCTTTTATCATTGTATTGGTTTACAATTAACGTACTCTCTTGATCTCTTCATTCACAATTTATTTATATATATATATATATATATATATATATATATATATATATATATATATATATTTATTTATTTTTTTTGGCAGCGTGTGATTAAGGGGTTTATTTTTAGGCTTAATTAAGCAGCTAAGCTATTAGAGACTTTTTTATATCCCTCTTGTTTGTTAAACCGAAGAAAAACTCTTTAATCACTCTTTGTGCACTTTGATTATCTTCTATATTATTTTTTTATCCACTATAGTTCAACGCAAATCAAATACAACACTTCACACTTTATAACAGACAAAATACTTTCATGAAATCAAAGGTGTATTAGAGCATTCACAATGAATAGATGCTTCCCTTGTAGCTTTGGGTTGCCACATCATTACTCCCAAACTACATTAATTAATAGTTAGAACCTCCACAATGACAAACTATTATTTCCATTGCTACTGTTTTGGTCGATTAAAAGTCCGAGTTTCCAGCCGTCGACTTTTGCTCCATTTTCATTGTTAATTTTGCTTCTATTTCTTCACTTTGTTTTACCGTCTGACAAATTCAAAGAAAACCCTATGAAAAATATAGGAATTAAGGGAATGGTTAATCCTAGAGGGCTAGATGTTTGTCGTGGAGAAAGAGAGAAAAATAGAAACGTGATGAACGACTTCAAATGGAAGGGTTTACTCCATTACTAAACTGATAGGTCATTTACAATCTAAAATTTTCTTTGTGGAGGTGTGGTACATCCGGGTTTTTGATAAAAGGCGGAATGAACATATAGTTGTTTTGTAAAGAACATATAGTTGTTTTTAAAAAAAAACATATAGCTGTTTTACAAATAACATCCAACTTTATGTTCTTTTTGTATATCTAATGAACATTCATAATATTATGTAATGAATATTATTTATATTCACCCACCATAATCTAAAGTCAAAATTTAAAGAACATTTCACAGTAAACAATGAATATTATGTCACAAATAAAAATACATTACACTGACAATCAAATAACACGAAGATAAAGAATATTATTTAACATTGTGTTCTTTATAAAATAGTGTCATGTTCATTGTTATTAATAGCTTTATGTTCTTTTTTTATATCTTATGTTTTTTTATCACGTTCATTACATTTTAAAAATATGTTCTTCTCACTTTATATATGTTCTTTACAACTCTATACCATGTTCTTTTCACTTTAACTAAATGTTCTTTACATTTCTATACAATGTTCTTTCCGCTTTTTTATTTTTTTTTTGAACGGATGTACCATGCGCATGGTATATCCACCTCTATGAACCACTGATTATTTACAATCAAGGTTATAAACTTGTATTTTCTCAATAAATTGCCCTTTTGGATGACCTTGCTTTTTATCTATGAAATTCATAATCATTTGAACTTAATTTTTTTTCTGTACTTAAAAGATACATAGTGCATGTAGTATTTATATTTGAGTGTATAGATGATCTCCATTGGTGAAACTTAACTTTGACTATTGAAATACAAAATGAGTTGTTTTTTTACCTCTAATGGTGATACCCAACCAACTTCTCAATTTAGCAACTCATGCGAAGTCTAATTTTCCAATGGTGAGACTCTCTAAAGCATACTATGTCACTTTAATTTATGCCCCACCAAATCCATGTAATTTTTTTTTAAAAAAAAAAAAAAAAAAAAAAAAAAACTAAAATAATTTACAAAAAAAATATTATAATATTGATAAAGGGACCCACATTTTTTTTCAAATGAGACTCAAAGTTGAGTATCTAAACTTAGCAACTCCAAAAGAAAATTGCTATTTACGTAAAAAATAACCTCTCTTCTAAAAAAAACTCCCTCAAGTCTCACCTTGGAGATGATCTAAGTGCATATGTACATAACCACAAATGCTAGCTTCAGTTTAAATGATTTGATAGAAAAAAGTAACATTTCATTCATTAATATGAACAGAAGTTTACTAAATTCAGAATGCGATTAACTGAAGTAATTGACATCTTTATTCAAACATAAAATCACACCCACTAAATACTTTTCTGTTTAAAAGACTGAAATTAGAAGATTGCTAGTGTTAGTACTAGTACTACTTATATTAAGCAGCTTCAAAACAGTTGAAAGAAAAACTCAACCCACCCTTAGAGCTGTCCACCCTCATACTTGAAACCCTGAGGCATTACACCCGGATTGGTTAGAGCTCCTTTCGGATCCTCCATCATTGGCGCTTGATAATACTGATTCATCACGGTGAAGTTAAAAACCCCCATCCTCTGAGACAGATTAGAAAAATGGGCAACATCTCGACCACTTTCCAAATCAACTTCATTCATCATATGAACCTCATTCATGAACCTGAACTTGTAGCTCTGGGAAACATCCACATTCGCAACCTTATCATCCCCTGATATGAGATGGCTGCTATCGCTCATCATACCTAGCACAGGATTTTCAAAATCGCGAACATTGTCCCAGAAATCCGTGTTCCCAATGGTACTAGAGCCCGAAGAATTGCAACCTACATCATTGCTCAAATTTTGATTAGTGTCTAACTGATCAATAACAACATTACCTGCTTGACAGGACGAATACATCAAAGAGTTCTCTGTTAGCTCCTCAGCTTTCTCAGCAACATTCTTCCTAAGTTCCATAAGACACGCCTTGAACTGTTCGAGTTCATACAATCCCATTTCATTTACCGCAGCTACCTCCCACCAATTTCCACACCCTTCATTTGTACCACTCGACTGACAGTTCTTCTCATCATCCACAGGCTCACCCACCTTTTTTTTCTCCACAACATTACGATTCGTAGCCCTTTTTTTCTCATCAGTCTTTCTCTTGATCTCATCGCGCTGTCTGTTCTGTTCTTCCACCATCAAACCAATCCCAGCAGGCTCATCATAGAAGGACCCAAGATTCAGGTAACGACGAATGATATTGTCAGAGTTTGGATGACCAAAGCAGAATAGCTTGCCCCTCTCAGAGAAAGTCAAGACTGCCATTTCCACCCCACATAGTGCACATAACTCGCTTGCTTTCTTGAACAACCCTAGACGTCGTTTCGAGAACGTAACATGTTTTCTAGTTTGGTCTGCTATTCTCTCAATAGGGATCTTCCTCCTTCCATTGCTTCTCGTCCTGAATACTTCCTTCTTACCATCCTCTGTCTCCTTATTGTTGGCCATTAATAATGATGAAAATTTGTTATTATTACTTAGGACTAGCTTAATTATTAATCTTACAATGTCATTTTATATTAACACTTTAGAAGATCTTTTCAAAGAGAATAAGGAGCTTCAGTAATGACTAATGAGATCCTGTTATTAATTACATAATATTTTCCATATAATTCATTCAAGATTTTATAGGATTTTTATTTTTTGAAAAAGATTTGATTACTGCATAATTTTTTACAGTATCTTGTTTAAAAATAAAGTTGCTAAAAATGTTATGATTTGAATCATTTGGTGAATAGATAAATGGATGGTTATTATACTCATATATTGGGTGATTATATATGTTTCCTTTTTGTCTTCAAATTTCCGCTGAATAATCCTATTTTCCCTGTGAAGATCAGCAATAAAAGATGTATGTGGACTTTTCATTTAAATGTGTAAGAGCCACTAGTGAGATTAATTTTACAGTATGGTTTTTAAACGCCCAAATATGGATGGTATCATGGTAGTTTAATCTAAACGACAGTAAAAGTCAAACCATGGAAAAACAAAAGTGATAAAAGTCAATAGGAGTGTTTGCCAAGGTAGCATTTAATAGTAGATGTAGAATTGACAAATATTTAGTATTTACTTCTTATCACATATAAATTATAACGTTTGTTCAGTGAATTTTTTGTAAAGTATGGTAACATAATTAAGTACTCTGTACTTTTTTGCTGTTAAAATATTGATGAACAGGTATATATCTTAATGAAGATTACACAGTCAATGGGGTATAATTAAGAGCTACGTATTGAGCATTTTAAGTGGACATAGTTCGTTTTACTACTTTCAATCGATTACTGAAGTTCAAACTTTGACCTGAAATGCTTCAAAATAGTAATAAAAACATACTTCGTCCCAAAGTGTCTCAATATTTATTTTCAAAATATTAATTAACTTTTTATAATTATTAAGATATAAAACTTAAAATATTCTTAGTCTTCATCCCAAAAATAAATAAATAAATATTCATTTTTAAAAAATAATTGCAATTATTTAGTGACAGAGAAAGTATTGAGTTGGTGTTGTAAATTTAAAATTCAAAATAAAAGGAAAGGATATATATATCAAGTAAAGGGTATACAAGGCAAGATTAATGAAGTAAAATAAAGGGCAAGATTGTTAAAATAAAAATAAAATAAAATAAAATAAATAAAACCTCAGATTTTTAAACAAACGGTTGACAAAATCTTCCAATAAAATTTCCTCAAATAAAAAAATAAAAATAAAAATAAAAAAAATCTTCCAATAAAATCATTTTAATTTCCATCAAATCACATAGAGGACAAGGTTTAATTTGATCTTACTCCCAAGGTTTGCTCTTGCATTGCATTAGTGTTGCCGGATAGGGTGGCAGTATTTCACCTATGCTGCAAGAACACATTAGTAGCACTCCAACAACTCTCACTTCCTAATCAAGAAAATACAGGGAAATTAAATCTACTTCGAGCGCTACTTTGTATCTTCATTTTTCGAGTTGATCTACAATCTGCGCTTCACCTAACAAATTTCATATGTTATGTTCCAAGTGTGGTTGGATGATCAGAACTTCAGAAGTTAAGAACAGAGGAGGATAATAATGAAAGATAATAGACACAACCATCAACTGATATGGTACGCTAGACAGTCTTTAATCTCATATTCGAGCACTGGAAGAAGTCATATTTGTAAGTTAAGCACCCTGGATTTAAGCCATAGCAGTAAATAGCTGTTTCAAGCCATCCAGCTGCGCGTACTTTCCAGTACAGGTGCATGAACTTTATTATCACTACTTCACAGTTTACAGTAACCAGTTTGGCTCTCTAGACTTTTGACACGCTTTCAGTGCCTCTCAGTCTCTCCACCACCGCCAGCGACACTGTCACTATTGAATGGATTAAGGCACCTGAGGCATATGTTTAAGACAGACCTCCTAACCCCCCCCCCCCCACCACACACACACATACACGCACAAAGTTGGAAAGTTCTCACGAGGAGGGCTTAGGCTACCAGAGAATGCCGAGGAGGGATAGTAGAGTACTCACAGTGACAGTGCATGAGAATGAAGAGAATATGCCTGAGGATAAATCCATTGACATCACTCTCAAAACACTTTTATTGGAAATCATTGAATTACGGACTACTGATGCTACTCGTGTAGGGGTGATAATAAAATCAAGAAAAAGTAGTTCCGTAAAGTTTTTTTTAAAAAAAAAAAAAAAAAAAAAAAAAAAAACAAAACTATATTTTGATTTAAGCCACGCTTGATTTGTATCTCATCTCAACATATGAAGCAGATCAACCAGCAACTATATGGACCTGTCTCTTGGTATGCCTCTTCAAAGCACAACTTTTATAAAAACCAGATAAAAGCAGAAAATGCATTATGAGGGTCCAAATGAAACATAGTTTCATGTGCGATACTTGAATCCATGTAACAAGTTGACGGCAGTATCTTCAAACAAGAAACGAAACAATTAACACAACCTATTAACCACATTCACCAGCGCTTTACATCCTCTATGATTCGTCCAATTGGTCCTGCATATATATGAAACATGGTTAGACAAACTAGGATATCCAATTCTATTAGTCGCAGATTATTTAGCAATATACACGATTGCCGAAGATAAATATTCACTAATATACTTCGTATACTCGTAACCAATAATGAAGCATGTGAATGTAGAGTTTAGCATAGCTGTACAGACCTGGTCTGATGTCCAGAGGGTGAGGTTGTCCCTCAGAAGTTGCATGATAAGAGTGCTGTCCTTGTAAGATTCTTCACCCAAAGTATCCAGCTCTGCTATGGCTTCTTCAAATGCCTGTCAATATTTATAAAATGTAGCGAATTATTATTAGATACCCTACCACATGGAAATGTCAAATTGAAAGTATCAATATATAATCAATGTAAGGCAACATTTAGGAATAAAACTGATTAATATAAACAGGCATCCACAAGCTAAGCTAATATACTGAAAATACATTCAAGGTTCTCAATACAAATATCAAATCATTACATATGCAATTGGCTCCCATTTGGTGACCGCAACTCACAACAAAATTAATTTCATAGAGATATTTACATTCAAAGATCTCAATTCATCAAGTCGAAAACCCTGCAAATGCATTCCACATAACCATTCGTAGACATATAAACCAAACTTAAGCCATTTTTCAGGTCATGAAAGCTATGGCATGTTCCTCCATGGCTCCATAGTATCAAATGCAATATGCATCTATACAACTTTCATACAAATAGACAAAAACCAGCTAACAGAGAGCACGATACCATCTTAACATCAGAAAATCAGAAACTACACCCAATGATGCAATTAACAGTTAGAAAGGTAGGAGTGGGAGAGAAGCATCTTCGTCATATAATGTTCTGTTTATCAGGCACTTCAGGACGATTGACGAAATAATTCTAGCAACCAGATAATTCTCCCAAAAACAACAAATATTTGAGTTAGATACATAGGGAATAGCTGAATTACCTGTTTGGCCATGCTACAAGCTTTATCAGCAGAATTGAGTATCTCATAGTAAAACACTGAGAAGTTGAGAGCAAGACCCAATCTGATGGGATGAGTTGGTGGCAAATCTGTAAGAGCAATTTCCTGGAAGACGAAAAAAAAAAAAAAAAAAAACTATGTCAGATAATAAGCCCAATACCATACTTGCTGCTTAAAATATATGTCTAAGCCAAAACCACAATGGTGAAGAAATATCTTCCGAATTTCAGACAACGATCAGATTGATATAGAGAATAGCCAAAGGAAAGCTAGAATGGATAGTTCATATTTTTATCTTAAGCAATCCCTACAATTAGACAACATACAATCTCTCAGATCCAAACAGCATAAACCCATCACCAAATATAAACCACACATCACATCTCCACAAATCCCTTTATTTTATACCACCACAGAGGTTAATTAGACATGTGCAAGACAGATCTGTCAAGCTTTGCCAGAGAAAAGTAAGTATCTCATATTGGTTATCTTTTCTTGTCACAGTTTTCAAGTTAATATGCAAAGACATTGATGACCCAATACACACTCCTAGACAAATCTTATTTGTAAAGAGTCAATGACTAAAAGCTATAATCCTGGTAGCAAGGATCAACGGTAACATCACAAACCCACCATATCTGCTTTCTGCTGATCCTAACATTCCTAAGACGCCAATTCAGCTAAGGTTACAGAAATTTCAAACTGAAAGAAGCCTTCAAGATAGACTCTAATAAAATTATGCCAAGCATTCCAGAAAAGCAATCATCGAATCCATTCCTCAATACTGCCTCACTCTATCCTTGCACTCTACTTCCAAGACGAAACGAGCGTGAGCTAGTGTACTACCAGTATGTTGGTAACTAGTACTGAAACAAGTCCTTAAAATAAACTTCATACAATTCCAGAGAATCAACAATCCAGTTAAAATAATACCTCGCTTCAATCTAGCATTCAAGCCATTAAATCAAAATATTCTTCTCACCAACACTCTCATCCTTATTCTTCATTCAACTACAAAATTCCGCAGACACATATCGTATCCTATCCACAACACATCAATATTCCTATTAAACTGCAGGAATGTTCTCAAATATCCAAAATAAATCCAAATATCCCTATTAAAACTGCAGAAATTTTCTCAAATATCCAAAATACATCCAAACGACCAAAACCCTATTAAACTGCAAGAATTTTCTCAAATATCCTAAATACATCCTATAAAACTGCAGGAATTTTCGCAATTACTTAAAATACATCCAATATATGCATATTCATGTATCAAATCTCAGTCATTCGACCAAGATACTATGTTCAGTAGCTATACAGACAGCATTAATCACTCATTCAGTCATTGTTAGCTCGAATCTCAGTTATTCTTCCATACCTCAGCATATAAAGCAGCAAAATCGAAGCATAAATTCAAAGATTCTATCAAAGAATAATGTAGTATTACACATAAAATAACAAATA